CTCTCTCTCTCGCTCTCTCTCTCTCGCTCTCTCTCTTTCTCTCTCCCTCCACCATGTGGATCTCAGGAATTAAACTCAGGTCATAAGCCTTGGTGGCAAGTGCCTTTACCCACTGAGCCGTCTTATTGGCTCTCTGGGACTCTTATTTGAGGCACTCTGTTAGTTTTGCCACACTCAAGAGTTACTAGCCAGAATCCTCCTGGACATAAATGAGTTATATGGGTGTCCACCTCTACCTTGTCCTCTGCTAGACCTCAGATGGGGAAGTCAGATGGGAAAGGATACCCTCAATCAGTGGCTGCTTTTCAGTTTTGCATAAACCTGAACATGGTGCTTTCCAGAATCAAGAGGTCAAGTTCTGATGCATTCTCTCACATTAGAAATCCATAGCATTGAAACAGCAGTATCGATCTGGTGAAGACTGGAGTTCCTGCTGATTACCAGGGGTCATCTGTAGGTCAGTCAGGCTTTGGTGCTGCTCTATATTCAAGGCTGGCCTTAGAAACCCCTGATCCATCACTCAAGGCTGCCTGTGCAAGGATTGGCTGCAGGACTATCAGAATTCAAGACAGGCATTGATTGGTGCAGACTTGCCTCGGGGGTGTGGCAAGCGGCTGCAAAATAGCTACCTGCTTGGCTGCTGAGCAACCAAGGCAGAAGGGACAGTAAGGTGCAAGGCAAAAGCAGCAATCCATCAGATCCCGAGAGGAAACTCCCCGATGTTTGAGCAATTCTCAGTCCCCCAGCGATCTGTGGACAGAATCATAGGGAGAGGTGGTGAGACAATTCGTTCTATCTGTAAGACTTCTGGATCCAAAATTACATGCCATAAAGAATCAGAGGGGAGCCGGGCGTTGGTGGTGCACGCCTTTAATCTCAGCACTGGGGAGGCAGAGGCAGGTGGGTCTCTGTGAGTTCGAGACCAGCTTGGTCTACAAGAGCTATTTCCAGTACAGCCTCCAAAGCCACAGAGAAACCCTGTCTCGGAAAAAAAAAAAAAAAAAACAGAATCAGAGAGGAAATTAAAACCAATCAGTGTGAGAAGAGAAGAAGTGATGGAGCCAGGTGGAGCTGGTGAAGCAGCTTTATGGAAGAATACCGGTACTAGCATGGGGCCAGCTGTACCCCTGGAGGTTCCTCTCCGCAAAAGTGCTGGTGATATGGTTGCTGCAGGACCAAAAGAAAGTTCCTGGAAGAAATGTACTGATGACAGTCTTGAGAATTCTGGTGCCCAGAACTGCCCAGAGATGTCTATGATTGAAGTTCCCAGTCCTGACTTCAGCTTCCATACGGATGAGTACCTAGACATCTACATTTCTGCTTATGAACACCCTAACCACTTCTGGATCCAAATCAGTGGCTCCCACAGCCTCCAATTGGATCAACTTAACATTGAGATGACCCAGCACTATGAAAATAGTCTTCCTGAAGACTTGACTCTGCACATAGCAGCACCTTATTCTGCAGATGGTTGCTGGTATAGAGCCCAGATTCTTGGTACCCTGGAAAATGGGAACTTGGACCTCTATTTTGTGGACTTTGGAGATAATGGAGATTGCCCACTGAAGGATCTCTGGGTTCCCAGGAGTGACTTCCTGAGCCTTCCCTTTCAAGCAATAGAATGCAGTCTGGCACAAATCGCCCCCTCAGGTGAACAGGGTGAAGAGGAAGCTCTAGATGAGTTTGAGAGATTCACTCACTTTCCTGACTCGAAGTCATTGGTGGCCAAGATCTCTATAGCTATGTCCAGACTAGAATCTCAACTTGGCCAAAAATCCATTTATATGATACCAGTAATGGGAAGAAACTTGATATTGGGCTAGGATTAGCTCACAAAGGATATGCAGTAGAACTTTCTGAAGATGTGGAAGACGATGGAACTGTCCCAGATGTGTTGAAGGACATGGCCACTGAAACAGATGCTTCTCTTGCCAGCATACTCAATGAGACCCAAAAGAGCCCTATCCTGCCTCAGCTTATCAGAAGAAACTATATAGTGTTTTCTTGTGTAGCTGAGGCTGTCCCCCAGGTGCTGGCAGTATATTTCCTGCTTCCTGAGTGCCGAGACTGCAGGTGTGTGGTAAAGGCCTGTGTTACTGTGAAGTTTTCAGAACTAACTTCTCATCAGTTATCATTTTCATTAAATAAAATGATTTTGAGTAAGATATTTTAAAAAAGAAATCCATAGCATCCTGACAAATAGTCCTAATGGTTTGTGGTAGCTTTCTGAGTGCTAACCTGGTCAACAACCTAGCGAAGAAATCAAGAATGGCCTGAGTTTACAAGCTTAATGCACTTTGCTGGCCAATACCTGAGCAGATCCTCAGTAGTCATGTACAGCATAAAAACCCCTTGGTCAAAAGGGGATTCCAGAAGGTGGCAGCCACATAAGATTATATAGCACAGTGACAACACAGCCTCCTTGGTTTGTGGAAGTATATTCAATGATGATCACCCTGTGACACAATTCTCAGGCTCTATCTTGTCATTAAGCAACACAAAACTATGTTTTACCAGATCCTCCAAGTCTAGACTCTATAAGACGAAAACCCAGTATATTATTAGTCAGGGTTCTTTAGAGGAACAGAACTTATAGATGAATATGAATAGATAGAAGATAGATAGACAGACAGACAGACAGACAGACAGACAGACAGACAGACAGACAGACAGGAGATTTATTTGAATGGTCTACAGGGTGTCAGGATTTTAAGGTTTTCTGAACTGCCCAGCCAAAGAACTAAAATCCCAACCAGGCACCCACCGGAAGTATGATGGGAAATAGGCTTTACGATAAATATATAATGGTGCATACACAAAAATACAGAGAAAAAGGCACACTCTGTAACAGGAACCAATGCTAATGAGCAAAGTGGTTATTTCACTCAGTTCTGCTTGATCTGTTTTAATATTATATTGCATATGTGTTTAAAATAATGTTTTAAAAATTAGAAGACAGAGAGCACCTGATGTGTTGTTTGCCTTCACTCTCGCTCTCACTCATTCTGGGGAACTATTCTTCCTTGTGGTTCTAGAGGGATCGTCCACAATGCCTCACATCTTCCTCCTACTAGTCCCTGAGCTGGGCCATTAGCTTAATCTCATTCAACCACAGTACAAAATAAGTGAACCAGAAAAGTTTTCTGTGAAACCACCTTCTCCTGCCACCCACTCTCATATTCATTTCCGGAACTTTCCATGTGTAGGTGGTCTATGACGTTTGACCATTTGAGCTAGTTTATTTGTTTATATTCCTTTTTCGTTTCCCTTTTCTTGACTGCATTAGTCATGCTATTTGCTGCATTATGTTAGGTTATCACATCTCTCCTCCGATGGCACACTGCCAGACTCCACATTTACTTCCCCTTTGCACTGGACCATTAGCCATCTCAAGAGTGAGCACGATGGTCATTTCCTCTCACAGCAACAGATCCATTCCCATCACTCTGAAGTTCTGAGTGTCTTAACAGCTCAGACTCTATTTTGGGATCTTTCGTGAGTATCTCTTCGGAAAGAATGGCAATGATGAGCGAAGGACCATGCTGACAGTGTCATGATCCTCTGAGCTGGGACAATCAGCATAGTTTCAGTATTTTGAAACCAGTAATAAATAGGCAACCCTCTACCACTTCATTAATTTATTTAAACAGGTGGATTTCCCAGAAACTATGTAAAAAACACTCCCTATGGGCCTATGGGGGCCATTTTTATTCAAACCACCACACCTTGCCTGGTCATAATTCCATGATTTGGACTCCATTTGAACTTTATACATACAAAGGAGACCAGTAACAAACATCTACGATTGCTTGCTCACTTATACTTAACTAAAAATATCATGTTGCACATGAAGCTTATCTACTATATAGTTGTTTTGTTGTTGGTTTCATTACAGTTTGTTTTTGTTTTAGGGGATTTTTTTGTTTGTTTGTTTCTTCTTTCTTTTCTTTTTTCTCTTTACTAGGCAAGAGACCAGCAGTAACCAATGCTATCTTGTCTTTTTATACAAATAGCTATCTTAAGGCCTGGTACATTCCTACATTCCAACATTCCTACGTGTGTGTGTGTGTGTGTGTGTGTGTGTGTGTGTGTGTGTGTGTGTGTGTTAAATTAAATGAATAAATTAAATTAGCATCACTCCATTTACAGATCTATGCTTTTCCAGTATGATCATGTCTAATAAGACTAAAGAATGTAAACTAAGTCACACTCTATGGTTCTTTCCCGCTCCATAACTCAGCTGATCTGAAGCATTACATGTTCCAAGGTGAAGTCCATCTAGTACAATAGCAAATGGAATAGATATGCCAGCTAGCAAAGTTGCCACTTATGTTTTCAGAAACAGCATCTAAAAAAATTATTCCTCACACAGCTGTGATTTTAAAATATGAGCTAATTTTTAAATACTTAAACAAAACTTTAAGTATTATGTGGGTGAGTGTCTGTGAGGGTATGTGTACATGAGTTGTTAACAGAGTCCAGAAGATGGTGTCAGATCCCCTGGGGCTGCAGTTATAGGCAGTTGTGAGCTGCACTTCAGTGCTGGGTCTTCTGCAAGAGCAGTCTATATTCTTGCCCACTGAACCATCTCTCCAGCCCCTGCACTAATTTGTAAGACTGCAGCATGCCAGGATACTAATATCATGTTATACACACCAATAAGAAAGAGTTGTTTGGTTGGAAGTAACTGCTAGATTTTGGGAATATTCTGTAACTTCAGTTTTTAAGTATCATTTTTTAAAAAAAGATTCACAAGGAATTGAACAAAATGACTTTTAGATTCTTAACTGAAATGCTTGCAAGACCATTAAATTCAAAGCCTCCAGAAAGAGGGAAATTTGTTTGTTAGTGGGTTTGCTTGTTTGCTTGTTTGTTTGTTTGTGTTATTTAAGTAAGTAACTTGGTGGCTGAAAGGGGGGATGCAGAAATCAAAGGCCTGATTGTGCTGGATCCTTCTTTGTGGTCATTATTCAGCTGGGTTCCCAGCAGGCTGCAGTTGAAAGGAAAAGATCCAAGTTCTACTTTAAAATCAGACTAAAGAGCTTGCTCAGCACCCTTCTCACAGTACGCTGTTTGTATTCATCACTTAAAAGTCTTTGAATAGTAAGTTGTATGCAATGACCTCAGGCTTCTGGGATAACTATAGGAACTTGCTATAACTCTAACTTGCTTACGAGAGGAGGAAAAGTTTTCATGGCTCTCTCTTTTTTCAAAGGACTCCCAGAACATCAAGATCCTCAGGTATAAATGAGACCCAGGAGAGAATGTCACAAAAGAAAACTCTTTTTTCCTATTTGGTTTGAAGAAGGAGAACAAAACTGAGCATTTCTGCTCATCTCCCTGACTACTGAGGACTCTCACTCCTAGAAGGAGAACAATATGTTTTCTTTTCTCACCATCTGCGAGAGTCAAGTTCTATGCAAAATCTATTTGAAAAAGTATTCGTACAATTCCCCAACCAAAAGACTCCTGTGGAGCTGAGATGCAAAAGTATCAAGAAAATGTCAACATTGATCAATAAAGGCAGGGCTTTCTAAGGTTTAATAGAATTATATATTTTGAGTATATTATATAGGTATGATAGAAATGTACCTTTTGAGAATAGCAGGAAGTGATTCTGGAGAGGATACTGCAGAAGAATCACAAGTCAAAATTAAACAAAATTATCCATTTCTCCTTGACGGGTTCACGGGTAGAGAGGGCATTTAGTCCTTGAGGTACAACAACTATGCCTAGCGTCCTGCAATACTGCGGGACTCGGACATAGGAATATGCCCAGAACTGCGGCATGGAAAATACGCTAGCCTGCCTGTCTCCCCTCCCCCTCTCCGTTCCCGCGGGATTGGAGTAGCTCTGGGTCGCTGACGCCATCCTCATGCTCCTGGTTTGCATAGAGCATGCGCCTCCTCCTCACTTCCTCTCCAGGAGCTAGTGGAGTAAAGCTACGCCCAGGCCCACGTCTGCCCGAGCAGGAACTTCAGCACCCTCGGAGTGGACAGCGTCCGCTGCACCTGCTCACCTGAACTGGGAGCATCCTCTCCAGCCCCGGGCAACTGCTAGCCTTTCAGCTTCATCTCCCTCCGGTGCCCAGGCTCCTTCCTGTCCCTGCCAGCTTCTTACTCCCCTTCTCATTCATAACAAAAGCTACAGCCCAGGGGCCCAGCGCCAGGCTCTTCCCAGCAGAGAGCAGAGGAGCAAGGAAGAATGGAGTTCCTTTGGACCGGATCTTGGATACTGGTGTTGGTGCTCAATAGCGTCCCAATTCAAGCTTTCCCCAAACCCGAAGTCAGCCAAGGTAAGTGGAAATTTCTCTACTTCCGAGCTCTCTTTCATTTAGCCCAGCAAAGATAAAGCTTGGTGTGACCTATGAGCTCTAAATCTCCTTGCCTAGTTTTTCTAACCAGATCTTACCCCTGCAAATTGACAGAACCGTTTGGAATTCAGAGAACCAAGATGGATTTTTCTCCTTCACTTTTTAAATAATAGAGAAACAACGTGGGTTTATTATAAAGATCTTATTTTGGAAAAGGGAGCGAGTGCCTGTTCTTAAAGTGGCTTGGATTTTTTTTTCTAAGATGATCTATTCATTACACATGCAGGATACTGTGATTTCTTTTCATGTGCCAGCAATAGTAATCAAATTTTATATTTCTAATTAAAAAGAGTTAATAAGCCAAGAATTAGAACTATCTGTTAAATTTCTGATCAGAAAACAAAAGTGTGATTGCTTTTAACTCAGGAAATGCAGTAATATAAGAATACCAACACTGATACTCATTGTGTATATAATTGATAATCTTTGCTAATATAAGTTTTCTAATATTTCATAACCACCCAGAATTATTTCTCCAAAAATTTTTTCACTGAGATTTTTTTATTTTAATGAGAAAACTATTTTACCACCCAAATACACAATTAAATCTATATTTATGTGTATTTATTCTAGACAAATCTCTGCATAATAGAGAATTAAGTGCAGAAAGACCTTTGAATGAACAGGTAGGTTGATTGTAAAATTATAACTGCTATGTCATTTTGTTCTCATTATCACTTATTGTAATCATGTTGTGATATTTTAGACACTTTGAATTTATAAACTCTGAGAGATTAATAATAAATTGACAAAAATTAAATGGGAAATCTAGTTTCAATAATTATATGTTGTCACAGTTATGTACATTGAGTTTTGTATAATATCTAGAGTGCCCACAAGATGATAACCCAGTGAGATCCATACTGTATCCACTCTTAGAAGATTGCTTAATTTACTAAGTTTTGTTGTTTTGTTTGAGACAGGGTCTTGCTGGGTAGCCTACAACCCTTGATCTTCCCACCTCATCCTATTGAGTGCTGGGATTATAGGCACATGCCACCACGCTTAGTTGAAGATTTATCTTTGTCAATACTACAGGAGAAAGGAATTAATACTTAAAGTACACCAGCCCTTTTTTATCTCATTTAATCCTTGTAGTGGTGCTTTTTACTACATTTTACAAACAAATGTAAATCTCATAGAGACTAAAGCATTTGGCTTGTATACTTGGTAAGTTGTGAAACTGTGGTTTAAAAAGAGGTCTGTCTCCTGTTTGTTTCACAGATTGCTGAGGCAGAGGCAGACAAGATTAAAAAGACATACCCTCCAGGTAAAGGGAAATCACACTGCTGTTCAGTTAGAAAATGTAGGTCTCAGGATTCTAAACTAAAATGGGTGTGTTGGGCTTGGAACTTTTCTTCCAGAAAGCAAGTCAAGTGAGAGCAATTATTCTTCTATCGATAACTTGAACCTGCTAAGGGCGATAACAGAAAAGGAAAAACTTGAGAAAGAAAAACAATCCATAAGAAGCTCCCCATTTGGTAACAAATTGAATGCAGAAGATGTTGATTCAACTAAAAATCGAAAACTGATTGATGAGTATGACTCTACAAAAAGTAGTCTGGACCATAAATTTCAAGGTAAATGATTTAAAAGGTGCTTTGCTACCGTTTTTTTTTGTTTGTTTGTTTTCTCATTTTGAGTTTTTCATTAAGAAAAGTTCACATAATTTCAAAATTTATCTAATATGCTCATAAGCTTTCATTAGTTGAGTCCAAAGCTGAGGTAAAGCAAAGATTTACTGATAATGTACAAAAACCCCACTCTAGAGTCTCAACTTTTCCCTTTAAAGTTTTCTTTACTAAAACAGGTGTAGTGGCTCATGCCTGTTGTCCCAACACTCAATGTGCTGAAGCAAGAGAACTGTCACAAGATTGAGTCCAGTCTGGGCTACATAAAGTACCAGGCTAGACAGACTCCATCAAAACAAAAAAAAGGCAATAAAAGTGACAACAGTGATTAGTTTCCTTACTGATGCTTTGAAATTTTTTAAAGCCTTGTATCTGTATTTACAGTATTATTAAATGCATTTTACTATTTCCACTTATTTTAATAACTAGTACAAGTAAAATGTTATTTCTTCAAATAATCAGATTTATAAATTTGCCCCCCCACCATAGTGAAATGATCACTATTTTCTTGTTGATAGTTTCCTTCTCTTGCCTTTGTTCATCTAGCCATTCTACATCTCCATTTTGACCCAGACTTGATCTGGGCTGTCGATCTATTTCTCCCTACCTAACATCTTGCCTTGGAAGTTCCAGGTGCACAGAAAATTGAATGTATACTAGAGTTAACTCATGGCCTCTTTCCTCCTCACAGGTCCTCTTCAAAAGATCTTTCCCTTTTTGCTGCTATTTATCCTTTTTTTTTTTTCCTTCAAGACAGAAATCTAGGGTTGAACTATTTCTCTTATTTTTTTCTCACTGATTCAAACCTAATCTTCCAAAACTTAATCATTTTGCTTCCCAAGTATCACCCATGTTTTTACAATTAAAACAAAAACAAACAAACAAAAATTACTGAATACCCAATCACGTCTCATTTGAACTAAACGTTTTACAGGTCTCCCAGCAACCACTCCAGTTTTTTTTTCAACCTTTTAATGGTGTGACAGCTGGAGTAGGCTTTTTAATTTACAAATATAAAATATTGAAATACGTGCATGCTAGGCAGTTAATCACTCTATCACTGAACTACAACCATAGAGTCTTGGGTTTTTTTTTTTTTTTGAGACTGTATTTCCTATATAGTCTAAGCTGGTCTTAAACTCATGATCCTCCTGCCTCAGTTTTCTGACTGCTGGGATTGCAAACATGTGCCACCATGACCAGCATGCTGTTATGTTTTTGTTTTGTTTTGTTGTTTGGTTGGTTGGTTTTAGCCAAGACCTTGCAGGTAACTCGGGCTAGCCTGGATCATGAGGTTCTTGTGCTGGGATTACAGGGGATGACAGAGCATGCTTTCTTTATTTCCCATAAATCTCTTTTAGTAGATCCTCATTTCTCTTAGGACCAAAACCAAAATCCTTCATATGGTTCCTGTCTTCACAGTTACTACCAAACATGTCTGGTTGTGTCTAGCACATGTGATCTGATAGACACTCTGTCCCTTGCCTTCACTGCACTTCTTGTAGCTTGAACTTCTGCATTTGTAACTGTAAACACATATGATTGTCTTTATCCAATATGACACTGAAAAGTTCACACGAACAGGGACATTATTGGCCGGTGCCTGAATAGTCGTTAATTCATCGTATGGTTCTATAAATAAGTGAAGAAATGAATGAATGTGTGAGAGAATAAGTAGACTGACATAAGTAGGCCTTGGGGAAGTGACAGTATTTTCATTTCTGCAGATGAGTGCTTAGAAGTGAGTACAGGCTTTCTTCTTTCTCTGTGTCCTTATTTTGTTTCATAGCAATGAGAGAATTATGCTGATTATCTTGGGGGAAGGACTCTCAATTAAATGAGATTTTCACAGAACATCATAGTCTGAGGAGAGTTTTAAAATGTATTATATGTGTTGAGTGGATAGAGCCAATGATTTATGTTTTGCCACTTGGGGAATTTAAAACTTGAATTCCACTCTTTAGCCTAATGTTTGTGGACCAGAAGCAAGTAGACACTGGGCATAACTGCATTTAAAACATCAAGCTAATCACTCTTGTTGACTAGAACATTTGGTTTAATAGAGTAAAAAAGAATGTGATATTTGTTTGACTTGATTAGTCATATTGGTTGTTGGCACCAGCAGAGACACGGATTTGTTTGTGACTTGAACACTAATTGAGTGGCTACTTTTTTTCTTCTGCCAGCTCATAGGTTTAAAACTGTAGGGCTGGTCCTTGTGGCTTTAGGCTTATCCCAGGATTTACTTTAGCTTTACTTGAGATCCTGTGGAGACTGAGTCAAGGGTCATAGAGAGAATGTTTTATGGGTGAATGTCTAGTTTCCTTTCAGAGTCTGGAAATCCTGGAGCCAGAGAGTCTGAACCCACCGAGGCATCCGAATAGAATATCAGAGATGTGCAGGCTCCATCCCAAGAGGCAGAGTGAGGGAGAGTGTCTTTGGCAGGCGGGTCCTCAGCTCCAAATTCAAAATTCTTGCCAGTTTGTCTTTATGTACTTATGCTTTAGGCTCCTCTGTGTGTTCCATAGGAGAAATTCATCATAGAATTCCTACATTGCAGGCTACAAAGTAGATAATCACCTCTGTGTATCCAGGGACCGTGCTGAATCCAATCATCACTCCACCAGTGTCTGGCAGATATTAAGATGAGCTCAATTTAACTGAAGAAATTAATTCCAGGTGTTAAATGAGATGCTAGATGCAGCCATCACTCTACCTCTGGTGTCTGGCACATAATAAGGCTTCAGTTTTACTGGAGAAATTAATTCTAGGTATTCAATGAGATAGTAGGGATAGAAGATATAACAGGGAAGAAAGATATAACAGGGCACAGTCGTTTGATGTCTGTATGGAACACTGCTGCTGACTAGAAGTTTAAAATTTGAATCCATGCTGGCTTCTTTCTGAGGCTTCACACGGGGAGCATAAAACACTCCTTTGTGCACAGCTGGGAAATCACCGTGAGATATTCTTCTCATTTTCAAAGAGCTTGGGGGAAACTGATGGACGGTAAGGGCAGTGGCCAAGTGCTTCACTTTACCTGCAGCTCACTAAGTTCCACTGTGGGAGAGCTGAGTTCCTGGCTAAAGAGCCAGAAGCAGCACAGCAGAGGAGGAAGACATTTCTTTTGAGTTACCAGCATTCTCCCCGTTGGGAAGTAAATGAGCTGAAAAACAGTCATCTGGGTTATTTTCCAGCTTCAGCAGGCAGCCAACATTCTTTCTTTCTCAGATCCTGGGGGAGAAATGGAGAGGGAAGTAAATTCTTCCACCTCTGCAGAGACGGAAGACTAGTCCCCAGTGCATGACTTGCAACCCACAAATGGAAAATTCAGACCTAAGCACTAGAGAGGCTGTGCTCCTGAGAAATAGATGAAGAACTCAACTTCCAACCAGACAAGAGGGGAACTAATTTTATGACTCTTGTCACTCTGGCACTTGGGTCTCAAAAGGCTCACAGCTGAACAAGGACTCAGCCTTTGTGTATAATCACCACTCGCCTTAGTAAGCCTGTGTCCAAAGGCAAGAGAAGGTGTCTGCCTGAGGCTACAGGTGCCACCATCCCCACAGTCTAGAAGAAAGATCATACCATGGGAGAAATTCCCTGGCAAAATCCCCCGGGGCCTTGGAAGAAAAGGGCAGAATTGGGATGGAAATAAGGTGTCCTTCCTTTGAGGAAAAGTAGCAAAGATTATATTCATAGTGTGGGCATAAATGCATTTAATCTCAGCACTCTGGAGGCAGAAGCAAGCAGACCTCTGTGAGTTCAAAGCCAGCCTACACAATAATGCCCTGTCTCAAAAGAAAAAAAGAAGCATTATTCATAACATATAGGGCAAGGAATTCAATTTCCGTTTTTCTCCAAAAGATAATCACAACTCCTTTATTTAGAAATCTAAATCCACTATGCATAATTACAATAGTACACTCTTCCATATACTACTGTATGATAGGTGCATCTAACATCTTATTTCACCTGCTCCTTACAACTCCATTACAATCAAATTAAACAGATATCCTTATTATTCACATTTGCTTGTTTTATTGTTTTGTTTTCAGTACTGAAACTCTAACCCAGGGCTTGACAAATGCTAGGCAAGCACTCTACCACTGAGCTAAGCACAGAGCCCAATACCCTTATTATTTTGTACAGTGATCCAAGCTTGTATCGTGGTTGTTAAACCACTGATCTTTCCCGTCTGCCTCTATGTGATAAGGAGAGCTAAACAATTTGTAAATTGAGTCTATTCAATGTGGTTTAGATTTCTGCAATTCTTTGTAGATGGAGCAAGGCTTCATTGCCCTCATCCCCTTTCTCCCTCACATTATTTGTTGCCATTGTCATCATTGTTGTTCTTGTTGGTTTTTAGAGTTTGACTTTGTTTTGCTTGAGACAGGATCTCTCTCTCTCTCTCTCTCTCTCTCTCTCTCTCTCTCCCTCTCTCTCTCTCTCTCTTTTAGCCCAGCCTAGCTCCAAACTCATGGCAGTCCCCTTGCCTCAGTCTCCCAAGTGCTAGGACTGCAGGAGTAAACCATCACTCACAGCCCCTTTCCTCAGAATGGTCCCTTGCTTTAGTCTGAAATTACACTGCCAAATGAATTCCCAGGAAAACTAAAGACATATATTCATGGGCTTTTCTGCAAAATATGCACGTTGTTTATGCAGATCTCTTGCTATATTTTAATACTTTTATCCCAAGCTCATAAAATAAGTCCCCTGTCTTTTGGAGGTCGGAGTTGATTATCGTTACTAAGCTTTAACATTAAGCTTTGTTACCCAGAGGTACTCTAGCAACCAGGCGTGGCAGTACATGCCTGTAATTTCAGCACTCAAGAGACAGAAGCTGGAGGATTACTGAAAGTTTCCGGCCAGGGTGACACTATAGGAGGACACTATCTCTAAATGAATGAATGATAAATATATAATAAAAAATTTAAGTATTTCAAAATGCATAGGTTATAAAAATGATGTGTAGAATAAGTGTGTCCTTGCCATGACATGAAGCTGTGCTTGCTCTGTCTAGATGACCCAGATGGCCTTCATCAACTGGATGGAACTCCCTTAACTGCTGAAGACATTGTCCACAAAATTGCTACCAGGATTTATGAGGAGAACGACAGAGGAGTGTTTGATAAGATTGTTTCTAAACTGCTGAATCTTGGCCTAGTAAGTTGTTAGCGTGAGAGCAAACTTGGTTCTTAGAAAGTCTGTCGTGTCCTATGAAATCAAGCTTCATAATCCAAGTAGCGGAATGTATATGGGGCACCTGCTTTGTATTAGGCCTCAAAGGATTCCCTTGAGTTTATTAGAAGAGCCAAAGAGGCACACACACCCATCACACAAACTGTTTGAGAGTCGTAGGAGTTGCGCAGCTTGCCAAAGAATGGCGTATGCCAGTTGGAAGTCAGGAAAGGACACAGAGGAAGAGGTGTTTGAAATGAGCTTAGAAAGGATATAACCAGCAGAGGCAGAGGATGTGCGTGGCAAAACCAGAAATAACATGAGCAGAGACTGGCAGTGTATGTTTGAGAAACTCTGAGAAATTGAATCTTCCCAGTCTCAACTTGGCTGCTCAGCCCTGACACAGCCCAAGCAGGTTTTACTGAAGTTCTTATTTTGCAATCACAAGGGTCATGTAACTGATCATGTGACCTGCATCTGTAGAACAGCATCCCTCCTGGTGTCTTTCTAAGGATGGACCCATGGGGTTTTAGCAAGTAGCACTGACAGCTTGCATGAATAGCCAACTTCTTCCTAGAGTGTTGGGCAGTTGCTGTCACAGCCTGCATAAGAAAGGATTGACTGGCCGGGCAGTGGTGGTGAACACCTTTAATCCCAGCACTCGGGAGGCAGAGGCAGGCGGATCTCTGTGAGTTCGAGACCAGCCTGATCTACAAGAGCTAGTTCCAGGACAGCCTCCAAAGCCATAGAGAAACCCTGTCTCAAAAAACCAAAAGAAAGAAAGAAAGAAAGAAAGAAAGAAAGAAAGAAAGAAAGAAAGAAAGAGACAAAGAAAGAAAGAGACAAAGAAAGAAAGAGACAAAGAAAGAAAGAGACAAAGAAAGAAAGAGACAAAGAAAGAAAGAGACAAAGAAAGAAAGAGACAAAGAAAGAAAGAGACAGAGAGAGAAAGAAAGAAAGAAAGAAAGAAAGAAAGAAAGAAAGACAAAGAAAGAAAGAAAGAAAGAAAGAAAGAAAGAAAGGGAAAGGAAAGAAAAAGAAAGGATTGACTGTTGCAAAGAGAAATGTCCTTGATTAGGAGTGAAGACTACACCTATACGTGGGTATAAGGACAAATGTTTGGGTTGCTGTTAGCATTTTATGCTGGTTTAGTAAAGGTTATAGATTCTCCTCCAATATTCATGACTTCACTAGATTGGCTTCCAGCACCAGGCATGGTTTCACTTGTGTTGAGCAGATCTTAAGTCTGGTTATAGAGCTGTTGCTTACTGTCAGAGTATGCATGCCACTATTGCACCCTTAGGCTAATTGTGCCATGCTGGTCATTGATGTAGCTCGCAAGAGTCATAGCTGAATAGGACTGTAGGAAGCTTGGACTTTGGAAGCTTGCATGGTACCTATATATTCAACTGGGGTTTGCATTTTATCTTAGCCAAAAGGCCAAGAAGTGATTCAACTAGAGTTCAGATGTCTATTTTTTTTTTTTATGCCCAGGAATGGGCGGAGAAGTTATATATGCTTTGTGTCTTTGTAACAGATTACTGAAAGTCAGGCACATACTCTAGAAGATGAAGTAGCAGAGGCATTACAAAAACTGATTTCAAAAGAAGCCAACAATTATGAGGAAGCCCTGGATAAACCCACAAGCAGGACTGAGTATCAGGCTGGAAAAATCCCAGAGAAAGTGGTATGTACATGTGTGTTAGGAATGTGTTCATGGCATGGGCATGCGTGTGTGTGTGTGTGTGTGTGTGTGTGTGTGTGTGTGTGTGTGTGTGTGTGTGTGCATGTGTGTTAGTGTCTCTGCATAATTAGTGCCTTACCTGATGCCAAGGAATATTTGGCAAGTTTCACATTTTTAGCACACTAGAAATATACGTCATATGATACAAACACCAATCCAATGTGCTAGAACCAGTGCTCCATAGCTTTTTCAGTATTCAGTTTCCATTTGCAATGAATGTTATCATCTACTCCCAGTGCCTGTGTATGCGTGTACACACACACACACACACACACACACACACACACACACACACACAAGAAGTAGATAGATCAGTCCTCTGCCCAGCAGTCTCACACCCCCAGTCTTATCCTTCCTCTATTCTAGACTGTGTTCTTCCACCTGCCCCTTTTCCTTTTCATTGGTTCAGAAGCCTGTCTATCACCTTTCATCTAGACTTGCCATTCATTCTTATTTCCCCTTCCTGGACTCCTCTCTGCATTTCCTCTTGGAATCAACAAAACTACTGTAATTTTTTTCACCTCTTTCAGTTCCCTTTGTAATTCTGGGGAATTGAAGCATATGAGGGTGTTGGATTCCTTGTCTTGCTTTTGATTTTTCTCTACCAGAATTCCAGAACCTGAAGCTCCTTCTTTAACACCTCCAGCATCCTCTGCAATAAAAAACAAGGCTATATAGAACACAACACTTCTGTTGTTTGCTTTGGGTTTGGGTTTTCTCAGAAGGTGACTGTTTGCTGGATCTCATATGATATGTAAGCTGGCTTCAAATTGGTGGCAAATATGCCTTCTAAGTACTAGGTTATAGGCATGAACCACCACATGCAATGTGATAGATAATGTTCATATGGATTTAGTTTTGTTTTGGTGTGTGCTTGTCTCCAAGCTGGCCTTAAACTTTCTGTATACCCCAGGTTGTCTTTGAACTCTAGATCAAATCCTTCTGCCTCCACCTTCCAGGTTCCCAAATGCTTGGGTTATAGATGTATACCACCAGGCCCTGTAGTGATAACTATTTTAGAAGGGCCAGAACATAAGATTGGTTCTGGTCTATTCCAATAAGGCCACACCTCCTGACAGAGTCACTCCCTGGTGAGCAAGCATTCAAATCTATGAGCCTAGGGTGTCCATTCTTATTCAAACCACCACATTTTCCATATTTTTAAAAGAACAGATGAACAGGTCCAAATGAAAACAGTTGTGATTTTCATACCCCTTCACCTGTTAACATTCATTTCTAAAATGTCCATATGCTTAGCTTGTTGTTCACATCATCTAAATGCACTAGTGCAAATAAATATTCTTTCACAGTACTAAATGTGGTGCTAAGAATGCCGTGCTAATTTAAAACCACACAGTCTCTCCTCCCACAAAGGTTAATTTCCAGTGAAAGGCATAGATTGTCTTCAAACAATGGTCATTTTAACAGCAACTGCATTAAGTGCTTTGAGAAAGGGTTCCTGTTCTGCACTTAGCCTTCTTTTGAAGGCTTCCCTAAGGAAGCAATTTGAGCTGAGAACTAAAAGTCAAATAGGATTAACTTGTAAACAGGAGAGGTCACATGTGTGGAGTATCCAGGCGACTGAAACAAGGACTTGTGGCTGACACAGAAAGGAGAACAGTGCTATGAGACCAGGGCATAGACCCAGCCCTGACCATGTAGAGCGTCAAGAGCCAATGTGGAGTCCATGCCTACTGTAAAATCCCGAAGGGCTTTGCCTGCCTCCACTTCCCATTGCTACAAAAGAATATATGGAACTAGATGATTTATTAAGAAAAGAAATAGAGGCTGGAGAGGTGGCTCATCAGTTAAGAGTATTGACTTCACTTCCAGAAGACCCAGATTCAATTCCCAGCAACCACATAGCAGCTCACAACCTTCTGTAACTCCAGTCTCAGGGGATCCAATGTCCTCTCTGGCCTCCACCTTTACCAGGCATCCACGTGGTGCACAGACATACATGCAAGCAAAACATGCATACACATAAAAATAAATAATTTTTTAAGGAAAATAAATGTATTTATCTCATAGCTTGGAGGGTGGGACAGCTTCTGATCAGCTTCTAGTGAGGTCATGTGTTGCTCTCCCTGTGAGATGGGGAAGGGAAAGACAAACAGATGTATATGTAAGAGGGGGAGGGGTGCCTGTCGCCATTTAACAACTCACTCTGTCACACACACACACACACACAATAGCTAGTCTGCTACAACTAGCCCAGTCTTGTCAACAGTGGAGAGACACCGCCTAGCACAGCCAGCAGCCTAAGAAGCAGCTTTTCACCTAGGGACTCCACTCAGGTAAAGCCAGACCCTTGGCTACAGCTCAAAAAAGAATCCCAGAACAAGCCAGAGTGAAGCCAAGTTAGCAAATGTATTAACTGTTTAGACGGGAAATCGTAGGGAAACAAAGACAGTACACACCTAAGGTATGGGTGCAGAGTCACCTTTATGCGTCTTTACCATGGCTTCGTCTATGACCTTGTGTCTTTTTAAGTTAGAGTGCAATAAGGATGCAATTTTCATGTTTAAAAGATTAAGCAAGCAGGGAGGGGGCGCCTAAGATAACTAAGCAGATAGAGACACCTACTGCCAAGCTTGATGACCTAAGTGGCTCAAGTGGTAGAAGGAGAGTTTCTAAAGTTGTCCTTTGACCTCCACCCACATGACTGGACAGACACACACACACACACACACACACACACACACACACACAAAAATGAATTTTTAAAGACTAAGCAAGCTTACAATTAAGTAAAGTTTGAAAATAAAATAAAATATGTAAGTTGATTTCCTTTTGTAAATGAAATGCAAGATGCTTTTATGGGGTGCAATGTTTAGATTTAGAGATGAGGGAGGGGTGTTAATTTAACAAATTCTAGTCTTAAGTCAACACAGCATTTGTTGTTTTTGATGCCCCTGTTTGAGAGGTCATTAACAAGCATTATCTCTGTAGGCAATTTGGACTTTATTATGTTGGAGTTCTTGTCTCTGTCAGCCAAAAGGCCAAAGTAGATCCCAGAGTGAGGGTTTCCTTCCCTTCTCATGTCCTCTTAATTGCCCCTGTCTTCTGTCTTGCCTCAGTCTCTCAAGAAAGACAGTGTATAGTTATTTTTCTCTCTGTATGTGTGCACTACCACCGCCTGACTTCAATACCACCCATCATACCTTTCCATTGGCAATTTAAATTTATTTTTAATGTATTATTTTTTTATGGCATTGGTGTTTTGCCTGCATGTAGTCTGTGTGAGGGTGTTGGATCCCCTGGAACTGGGGTTATAGACAATTGTGAGCTGCCATGTGGGTGCTGGGAATTGAACCCAGGTCCTCTGGAAGAACAGCCAATGTTTTAAACTGCTGATCCATCTCTCCAGCCCTCGAAATTTAAATTTCAATGTGAATTTTGACAGATTTAGCCATATCCAAACCATAGCAGGTAGGTGTGTGTGTGTGTGTGTGTGTGTGTGTGTGTGTGTGTGTGTGTGTGTGCATGAACACGTGGGGATCCTTACATGTAGGCGTGTGCACATGTCAGCATGCACACATGTGAAGGCCAACAGACAACCTCAGGTGCTGTTCATCAGGCACCATCTACCTTGTGTTTTGAAACAAGGTCTTGCCGGGCATTGGTGGTGCACGCCTTTAATCTCAGCACTCAGGAGGCAGAGGCAGGCAGATCTCTGTGAGTTCGAGGCCAGCCTGGTCTCCAGAGCGAGCACCAGGATAGGCTCCAAAGCTACACAGAGAAACCCTGTCTCGAAAAACCAAAAAAAAAAAAGAAAAGAAAAGAAAAAAGAAACAAGGTCTCCCACTGACCTGGAACTACCAAGCAAAATAAGTTAGCTGTCATTAAGCCAAAGAAATCTACCTATTTCCACCTTCCTGGCACTAGGATTAGGAGTGTGTGCCTGCCACTGGGCTCAACTTTTATTTTTAATGTGGGTTCAGGGAGCAAACCCAGGCACTTGTGCTCATAAAGAAAGCACTTTTACCAACCCAGCTTCATCTCAGGCCTCCTTGTAGTAGATTTTAAGCAATCACACTGCTAGAAAGATACCTTGGTCCACAGGGCATGAGATACTGAATTGAGAAAACATTTGAGATGAGTGGTATACCAGTTAGAAAGTGGGGTCTCAAGGGGTGCATGGACTAACATGGGCTACTGGAGAAAGAGATGTAAAAATTGCCATAAGATTTAAAAGTAGAGCCAATAAGGATAGTGATGAATCAAATGTGGGGAAATGAAATAAAAATAAAGCAAGAAAATCTCTTAGATTCTGTCTAGTCTACTGAATGGCAAATGAGCTTTCACCACAATCAGGTCTGGGAAGGAGAAAAAAATATTACGTATCATTCAGACACAAAAGCCTCCTGGAAGTCCCAAGATGTAATAAGTACAGTTACTGATGGACAGTCTGTAAGCTCTTCTGGCCCACCCCACTCCACCCCTATGCACTGTGTAAATCAGAACTCTCTCCTCAATGAAAGATTCATGGAGGGGAACTTGGCCAAAGCAGAACCACACAAATCTCCAGTCCAGTGTCTCCTGAGCCACACCAAGGTGTTTTCTCAAGGTAGCTCATAGCTAGTGCCTGCAGGATCTTGTGAAGGAGGAGGAACCCTGAGACTCCGAATTCAAGGTCACCAGACAGGAGAGAATTGACCTGGAGTTACATCAGTTCTAAACAATGTTTACTTTCTATTGTTATCCCCCACCCCCACTGAAGACTCCAGTGGCAGCAATTCAAGATGGCTTTACTAACAGAGAAAATGATGAAACGGTATCTAACACCTTGACCTTGTCCAACGGCTTGGAAAGGAGAACTAAACCCCACAGTGAAGATGACTTTGAGGAACTCCAGTATTTCCCCAATTTCTATGCATTACTGACAAGCATAGATTCAGGTAACCGCGGCTTTATGACCATGAGGAAGGGAAATGAGACAGTAATTCTTGGAAATGTGTGGGTGGTTTTCTTCCTGTTCGTGGCTCCCGAGTGCAGTTCTCTATGACATACACTGTTGGCTGGGAAAATCATTTCACATCAATTTTTTTTTTTCAAAAGCCGTGTGCTAGTCATGGAAAGAGTAATCAGGAAATGTGGAGTTTCTGGATCATTTAATCTTGTTAACAGACAGTTCATTTATTTATTCAATAAACAGTCATGGAACATCTGCTGTGTACAGGTACCCAAATCTGTCACATGCTGGAATGAATCACCAACCTGCCCTGACCGCACTCAGCCTTCACTCTTAGTATAGCTGCTTTTTCATTGTCAGCCTTTTGTATTTTCATTTGTTCATTCATTCTGTATGTGGGCATGTGTGCCACAGTGCACGCCTGAAGATTGGAGGCCAGTTTGCTGGAGTCAGCTTTTTCTCTCTATTGCATGGGTCCTAGGGATGGGATTCAGGCCATCAGGCTTGTCAGCAAGTGCTCTTAGCACCCGCGCTGTCTCTCTGGCCCTTCAGCTTTCTCTAATGCTCTGTTCTCAGCTTTATTGAGGTACAGTTAATATGCATAACCCTATAATCCTAGCTCTTGGGATGCTGAGGTAGAAGGATTACATGAGCATGGGTCCAGTCTGGTCTATATCTTGAGCCTGAGACCAGTCTTAAATACATAGCAAGATCCTATCACACACACACACACACACACACACACACACACACACTTATATACAATATCATATAACATGGTGTTTTGATGTTCACCAGCATTGTGAAACAATCATCCTGGCCAGGCCAATGACTGTCTATCACCTAAACTTATAATTGCCACTGTCTCTTTCTTCTTTTTTATTCCTGTTATTGTGAAAATATGGCCTCCTAGCAAGTTTCAACTATGTAATCCAGTGTTGCCAGCCATACTGACCAAGCTGCACAGACTCCAGACTTATTCTCACTACAGAACAGAAACTTGATATCTTTAACCAGCATCTCCCAGTTTTGCCCAGCCCTAGGCAATGACATTCTACTCTGTACTTCTATAATCTTGGCTATTTTAAATTCCACATGCAGTTGTCTTTCCATAGGCATAGAGGAGCTGTCCTCCAGATACCAAAATCCACACGTACTCAAGTCCTTTACATAAAATGGAACAAAGACTGTGACTGAAGCTCAGAGGTAGAGTGGAGTGCAAATGGTTGTTATACTGTATTACTTGGAAAATAATGGCAAGAAAATAACCTGTCTATGCTCAGTAAAAATGCAGTCACATTTTTTCTTTAGTATTTTTGATCCTCAATTAGTTGAATCCATGGATAATGAAGCCTTGGGTTCAGAACAAAGAGAATGCTGTATCTGTCATTGTGTCTGGCTTGTTTTACCTAGTGTGTTTTCTAGGCACATTGTCAAATCAAAGCATAAAGAGAAAATCCTGCTAATTGTATTAAATTTTTGCGAAGCTTTCGTTTTCTTCTCTTAGTGGGAAGCTTATTTGTTCACCTCTAAATTATTCAAGACATTGCTTACTAGACATTTTCTGCTTTGGTTTTGCATTGAGTTCACATGAGCATGGATGAAAGGAAGTCCAGAGTCCAAACACATTTGGGAAATTGTTCTTTATTAAACCAGTCCTCCCCAATCTCTTCAGTCACATGTGTACTGAGCTGACTGTAGGATTTGGCTCCTGTTTGTTTCTGGTTAATCTGTAAATGATAATCTTAAACTCTTCTGTTACTGTTCAGGCAGATGCCCCACGCTGCCCCAATGGCTTCCCCTGTCCCTGTTGCAGCCCTCAAGTGAACAATTGTGTAAAATTTCTAGAGTTGTAATCTGTTTCCTCCATAAAGAGATCATAGAATGAGCTTCCCTCCACAGAGAATTCTGTTTGTCCTTCAGGACCAGACACTGGCCAGATGGCATGGGCCTCTCTGCTTGAATCTGCAAGGCTGTATCTGGAGGATCTCCTCTGAGCCATCTTGCCCCATTGGTTGGCAAATGACCAGCTCAGAGCCTGTGTCATCCTAGTGAGTCACTTCTCATCCATGAAAAGCATCAGTAAATGCTAAATATACAAGTGCCCTTGATCAAGGGATAGCTAGAGTCATTTGTCACATTTTTTTAGGATCTCCCTAACTCAGCAACCTATGAGTTTTATGGTATTTTTAAAATTCCACTGTGAGGAATGTTATTTATTTGTTTTACCTTTCAGGTTTGTTTGTTTGTTTGTTTGTTTGTTGTTTTTAGACAGTGTATCATATACCCCAGGCTAACCTCAAACTCTGTATCTGATCTTGAACTTCTCATCCTCCAGCCTCTAGTTCCCAAATGCTGGGACTGTGGGCATGTGTCACTATATCTGGTTTATTCAGTGCTGGAGTGTAAACCTCAGGGCCTTGTACACACTAGGCAAGCACTGTACCAACCAAGCTATAATCCCAGCCCCAGAAGTGATCTCTTTACTGTCTATTTTATTACTACAATATTTCAGATGAAATTAAAGCCCCATAGGAAAGTTAAAATGTGCTCATTTCTAAGAGCAGTTTTGTTTAGCTATAAATTTCCCTATATTCCTAATTGTGTCTTAGTTTTTGTTGGTTTTTTTTTAAGTTAAATGTTTGTGGGATTCATTATAAGTGAAGGGGGAGATATTTCCATAATTATGCTTTACTTCATAAATTGGCAGTAAAAGATAAAACTATTTTCTATTAGTTGTCTCTAAATTATTTTTGTTCCCATGAGGGCTGGAGAGATAGCTCAGCAGTTAAGAGCATGGACTGCTTTTCCAGAGGACCCAGGTTCAATTTCCAGTACCCACACTGTGATCACAACCCTCTGTAACTCCAGTTCCAGGGGATCCATCACCCTCTTCTGGCCTCTGCAGGCACTGCATGCCTGTGGTACACAAACGTATATGCAGGCGGGCTGGAGAGATAGCTCAGAGGTTAAGAGCACCACCGACTGCTCTTCCAGAGATCCTGAGTTTAATTCCCAGCAACCACATGGTGGCTCACAACCATCCCTTATGAGAGCTGATGCTCTCTTCTGGTGTGCAGATATACATGGAAGCAGAATGTTGTATACATAATAAATAAATAAAATATTTTAAAAAAACATATATGCAGGCAAAACACACATGCACACATAAAGTAATATAAATAAAATTTCCTTAGTTATTTATTTTGTTCTTTTAAATAGAAAAAGAAGCAAAAGAGAAAGAAACACTGATCACTATCATGAAGACACTGATTGATTTTGTGAAAATGATGGTCAAATATGGCACAATATCTCCAGAAGAAGGAGTTTCTTACCTTGGTAAGGATTCTTCCTTATTTTTACCATAGCCATTTTTTTTGTTCAAAGCAAAATAAGGATCTGGCAATAATCACCTCACTAATTTGATGATTTATGCCAGAGCAGCCCAGGTCTCCAGGGTAACAGAATTGCTCGGCTTAGTGATGCATGCAAATAAAATTAATTAGACATTTTCTACTTTTCATCTTAATAAATACAGCTTGAAGAAAAAATCTTCCACATTTTTATATTAAATCTTATTAGTGTTTTCAAATAATCTCCAGAGAGCAATTTTATTACATTTTAACTCATTAACTTTTTTTTTTTTACAAGTGTTTAGAAGTCTGGATTAAATCTTGATTTTCCCCTCTGAGTACTGTATGTGGCAGGCAGAAAGAGTACTGGCTAAGGAAGCAGGAGCCTCACTCTGCTATGCTGGGGAGGTCTACTCTTTGCAAGGCTTTATTTCCTATTTCCGTAAAATGAAGAATGAAACGGGTCACACTCCATCATTGAGGGAAGTCAGGGCAGGAACTTAAGGCAGGAACTTGGAGGCACTAGCTGATGTAGAGGCCATGGAGGAGTGTGCAGCTTACTGCCTTGCTCTTTCTGGCTTTCCCAGACTGCTTTCTTACAGCATCCAGTACCATTAACCCAGGGGTGAGACCATTCACAGTGATCCAGACATATCCATATCAATCATTTGTCAAGAAAATGCACCACTGGCTTGCCCACAGGCCAGTTTCTTGGGGGCATTTTTGCAGTTAAAGTCCTGTCTTCTTAAATGACTCACTCTAGCTTGTGTCAAGTTGACACAAAACTAGCCAGCACATACATGGTGCACAAACATGCATTCAGGCAAAATATATTCATACATATAAATAAATGTACCTTTTAAAAAGGTAGACTGTGGCTTCTCAGTTACACATTGCAAGAGCTCAATTGTTTGATATTTTTTAAGGGCTTTTGTTTCCCTGAGTATGTTTCACCACCCATGTGCTTTGGGCAAGGTGACCTTAGCCTCTTACTCTGCTGGGGCAAAGAAAAACAAATAGATGAAGAAATACCATTAATTAGCATGATCCAAAATTATTCAGCAGGAACCCAGGGTTTTTCTACATAGAAACAGTCTTACTAGTTTTATTTTGATTATAAAAAGAGCTTATTTTGCCTGGCAGTCGTGGCACATGTCTTTAATCTCTGTGAGTTCAAGACCAGCCTGGTCTATTAAAGTTAGTTCCAGGACAGCCTCCAAAGCCACAGAGAAACCCTGTCTTGAAAAACCAAAAAAAAAAAAAAAGAGCTTATTTCTTGCAAAAAGTCATTCAAGGCAAAGAAAGAAAGAGAAAGAAATGTGAAAGCAGGTTAAAATCACTCCCAATACCAATCCCTTCATGACATTTTGATTACAGTCTTCTAGATGTCTGTGTAGGTATATATGTGTGCATACCTATCTTCTTTGTCATTAAAATGAACAGTTGGCCAGGCATGGTGGCTCAAGTCTGTAATCCCAGCACTAGGGAAGCTAGGGTTAGGAGGGTTAAAAAGGAGTTGGAAGCCAGCCTTGGCTACAGGAAAAGTCTCAGGTCAGCCTAGGGCAGAATGAGACTGGCTTGAAAGGAAATTAAAAGTAAGATTGAAGAAATTAAATAAAATCTAAGACAGGAGTTGCGGCCCACACCTGTAATCAGCACGTATGGGACGTTTAATATCATTTCTCGGGAAATTAAAGCATACTTCTTTTCCTCTTCTTTCTAGAAAACTTGGATGAAGCAATTGCTCTGCAGACCAAGAACAAGCTAGAAAAGAATTCTACTGACAGCAAAAGCAAGCTTTCCCCAGGTAGGATTTTCTTAACTGTGGTGGGTTTTATTTTTCCTAGTTGTTAAAATAATAACTGTTTTAGTGGTAAATGATGAGCTTCAATAAACATTAATAGATCATTACAGATTTTTTTAAAAAATCATTTTAAAATCTCAAATTCAACCACATGAAACTCTGGCTACTTTATAGCCTGTTGTGGCAGAGAATTCATAACGCCAAAAGCTTGGAAAAGGTCTTTTGTTGGAGTCTTCTTTGTTGATTTTGCTGGGCTGGGAATTGAACACAGTGTGGAAGGCAAGCATTCTGCCACAGAGCCACGCCTCTAGGTCTGCACTAAATAGTAATGTAGGCATATAACAAAGAATCTTTAGAGGTGGCGGGCTACAAAACTGAGCGAATCCTTGATAAGAGTTTCCACTCATGTTGCTTTCTTACCACTTCTTGAGACCACCATCCCAGGCCATCTGCCTCTCTGCCACCCCACCCCTCTGGGATGCTCCGTGCTCCTCCACAATATGCCCCTTTTCTGTGTTTCTCTTCCACCCAGCCCAGCTCTGCCCAGCAAATGCCACAAAACCAAGCTGTGTGAAGAATCTTCCTCTCAAGAGGGGAAGGAAGAACAAAAAGAGAAAAGATTGCAGGCTGTGGATTCTCATGCTTTAACCGTTTCGACCCCAGCCAGATATACATTATAAACATGGTGGTGATGCTGTAGTGTGTCCTCTAACACGGTGCTTCCATGCAGGGTTTTTAATTTGGTTTTGATGCTAGAGCTCAAAGGTAGTCCTTCATGCTTGCTAGACAGGCATTCTATCACTCAGTTACATGTTTAGCCTTTATATTGTGTGTGTGTGTGTGTGTGTGTGTGTGTGTGTGTGTGTGTGTGTGTGTACCACATGTGTGTCTGGTGTCCATGGAAGTCAGAAGAGGACATCAGAGCCCCAAAACTGGTTGTGAGCCACCATGTGGGCACTGGAAACTAAACCCAGGTAGTCTGCAAGAGCAACAGTGCTCTTGACTGCTGAGCCATCGTTCTAGCCCCCTTCACGTGGTTTTTAAATAACCTTCAATAATGACCAAATCTAGAGACAAAATTGTATCACAGATATGAAAATATGTGCGTCTGTGAATAGAACAACTCAGGAGGAGATTTTTATGTGAAACAATGACTATTTTTTTCTTCTTTCCAAAGTGTGTGTGCAAGTTCATGTGTGTATAGGTGTGTGTGTGTGTGTGTCTGTGTCTGTGTCTGTGTCTGTGTCTGTGTAGAAACCAGAGGTGAATGTCCTCATTGCTTTCTACCTTATTTATTGAGACACTATCTTTAACTGAACCTAGAGGTCATAGACTTGGCTACAATAACTGGCCAACAATTCCATATATCCCCCTGTATTTGCCTCTCCAGTGCTGGGAACTCGAGAGGTCAGAAGGTGACTGCAAGAGAATTGGTAGTTCAAGGCCAGACCATGTCTCAAAAAAAAATTATTCTTATTTATAACCAAGACCTATATAGCACATCCCAGTTGACTGCCAACACTAACCAAAGTAAGATAAATAGGGCTGAAGATATAACTCAGTGGTAGAGCACTTGCCTAGCATGCATGAGGCTCTGAGTTTGATCACCAGCCTACGTCCTCCTCGGAGAGGGAGGGAAGTCAGAAAAATAGCCAGTTTTGATTGTATGTGCCAGCTATTCTGAGGGCTGAGGCAGGATTGCTGAGCTAGGAGCTCAAGGATAATATAGTGAAAGCCAATCCCTAATATGATAATAATAAAGCAAGACAAAGAGATGTTCTCTGATGACAGTGTGACTGAAAAAAGAGTGCCCATGCACAATCTGGAGTGCTGCAACTCTGGGCCCAGCTTCTTATTAACTCTGTGGGTGACCCTGAGCACTCCTTGTTCCCAGGGCCTCAGTTTCCTCTTCTGTGAAATGAAGGTAGAGGGTTAGATTAGACAACCACTGAGATCCCTTTCAGTTCAAAAACTGTAACATGACCTCAAACTGTATCTTTTCAATGAAGCGTGTTCTGCATTAAGAATTAAGGAGGGTAGGAAACAGTGCTATAACCACAGTGTGCTGTCTGATCACAGTGCCTTCAGAGAAGAGTCACGAAGAAACAGACAGCACCAAGGAAGAAGCCGCCAAGATGGAAAAGGAATATGGAACCCTGAAGGATTCTACAAAAGATGATAACTCCAACCTAGGAGGAAAGACAGATCAAGCTAAAGGTCAGGATCTAACAACTCTGGGTTGGCAATGAAGCTGGGGAAGCAGAAGTTTTCAACACTCAAGTAGGACCGTCCAAAATAAAGCCCGGCCACAGCACAGTCTGCGTAGTTAAGATTCGCAGAGCAGGGAGATCCAGCAACAAGCCCACACAGTACAGTCAGCATAGTTAAGATTAGCATGTGGCACCTTTGCTTGAATAACAGTGTGTTCTAACGGTTTTCAGTCTTTTGGGATGGCAAGTTGGTTTCATTCTTTAGTGTGCTATTGTGCTTGGGAAGGGATATTCATGGTTGAGGGAATTTTTGTAGTCATTTATGTATTTTTTAGTATTCAGTTTAATAATCCTAATTTATTGAGCAATGTGGATTTATTTAATTTACCTATTTATTTAGAGAAGAAAGGATTCATTGAGTTTACAATTCCACATTTTGATCCATATTAATATTTTCTGATTTAGACTTTGTTTAGTTGGTTTGGCTTAGTGTTATGAGACAGGGTAGTCCAGAATGATCTAGAAATTTCTATGTAACCCAGGCTGGCCTCAAACTCATAGCAATTCTCCTGCCTCATCCTCCAGTGTACTAGAATTATAGGCATGAGCAATAGTTCAAGTTATTTCATAGTTCTCTAATCACAATACAATTTACTCAGCCGGGTGGTTCAAGTGTATGGGTTTAAGAAGGCAAGCTCCTTCCTCAAGGAGTGACGCAGCATGGAAATGCCTTTAAGAGCTTGATGATCACAAATTCAATGCATCAATTTACCTTTAAAATATAAATGTTATCTGTGGCCTACAAAATGCACATCTTCTTAGGATTTTAAAGCTTTCCCAGAAACCACCCTCCCTGCAGGAAAAAGACTTGATGGCACTGTAAGTTCTAAATTGTTAAATCTCTTGGCTGGGACAGGATGTGGGCACTGTGGTTTCCTCATGGTTTGAGCCCCTTTTATTACAAGTTTAATAGCTACATCGTAGGAAAATTATAACCCTATGTCTCAAGATACCTCATTTGAAACATTGCATCTTTATCGGAAGCTGAGCAGAGATGTCTGATCCTGCTTTGCCTTTCTGTTCCTAAGAAATGTTGACCTCTGGTGTAATTGAAGCCCACTAGATCTTACCAATGTCTCATTAGTAGGTTCATCTGGACATTTTATGCCTTAGGAAGAGAGGAGAGTGGAAGTGGGTCAGTTCTCTCTCCTGGGGGAGGGGAATTGACACTCAGCTAAGCTGTCATCTGAGAACATAACGCTGGACTCTTTATATGGGTTCTGTATAACTTTCCATGGTAATGAGTGGATGTTTGGGCATGGTCAGAGGTACAGGTATCCAGGGTCTCTCCCTACAGGTGGGCTTTGCTTTCTCCTTGCTATGCTATGCTATATGATTATATAGCCCCTCCTGCTTGTGCTATGCCTCTTTCACATTTTTACATTTATTTATTTATCTATTGTATGTGTGCATGCACACATGCTTGTGTAATGAACCCTAACACTCCTGCATACATACACACATCACAGCACACATAGGTCATCAGAGGACAGCTTGTTCTCTCCTCCCACCATGTGAGATCCAAAGGTCAAACTCATAGGCTTGACAGAAATACCTTTACCTACTGAGCCGTCCCATTGGCCCCATATTTGCTAGCATCCTTTTTTCAGTTTTTTGGGACACAGTATAACCATGCAGCCTTGGCTGACCTGGAGCTCACTGCATAGACCAAGCTGTCTTCAAATTCACAAAGATCCATGTGCCTCAGCCTCTCCATTCCTGAGATTAAAGGCATGTGCCACCATGCCAGACTGTTACTATTTCCTATTATTTTCTCATTCTTGTCAATTAGTGATGATTTTATGGAAAATTTGGCATGGTTTGATAGTAGGAACCCCTTATTATTCCACTGTAGTCTTTTTAACACCCCATCTTTATTTTCTGCTAACAAAATATTCTAGATCCACTCCAGATTTTCTTTTCACAAGACTTGAAACCAATTCGTTCAAGGAATGCTGTTTCCTCCCTCCCTGTTTTCCTTCTCTTATTCCTTCATGTGCAAAGGTCATATTCCCCAGGAGCACAGATACCACAAAGCCAGTCCTTTATCCTGCTTAGGCAGCATGCTGAGTGATGACGTAACACCCTGTATTGCTGTGCAAGCATCCCTAGGCATGGTGTAACATATCTATGCTTTTCTATTTTTAAAGAAAACACTGTGAAAATGGAGCATGAAAGAAGGGGTGAATACTGACTATGAATGTGAGTGTGTGTCAGTCACCTCTCTCTCACTGTAAAAAAACACCTGACACTCATAAAGAGAAAGGTTGGTTTTTGGCTCACAGTTTGAGAGGATCCAGTCCATCATCTGTTGGTCTGGTTGCTTTGGGCTTGTGGTAGGAGGGGCACTGGCAAAGCAAAATCATTATTTCATGGGGGCGGGGAGAGGGTTGAGACTGGAGTCCCACCCCCTCACCCCCCACCCCCGTTTAAAATTTCCACAACCAGCTATAGTGCCTGAACCTGAACCTAGGGGGACATCCCAGATATGCTCTGCAACACAGCATTTACAGACTGGTTCTGGTGAGAGATCTCACCCTTCCTGGGTTTTCCATCTGATAGTAATGCGGGGAGAAGAGTGTAAAACTCAGCCCATCTAGCATTACTCTTTATATTCTCTCTCCTGATTTGAGGAAGGTGGTAGAGATTTACGGTTAAAATTACCTTCCTATTCCACACATCCCTTGACTACATTACTCTATGGCAAGAACAAATAAATCTAACATAGATTAGAAAATACCAAACTGAACATGAGTTAAGGACAGACATTTCTGGACAAAAATGTAATCAATCCTGAAAACACCAACAATTCACCTTTGTCTTACAGTTGCTCATTTGCACTATTTTCCTATGGTTATCTGGCTTTTGCTATAAAATCCACAGAGGAACACCCATTGGCTCTATGTAGAAAATAAATGCATGAATGTGCTTGAAGGCAAGACTGATGGGTTTCTATTTCTTTTTCTTTTCTTCTCTTTCTTTCTTTAAATACAGGGTCTTTAACCCTGGTTGGCTTGGAACTCACTAGGTAGCCCAGTCTGGCCTTGAATTTGTAACAGTCTTCTTGGCTCGGCCTTCTGAGTGTTGGGACTAAAGACCTGAGCCACCATGACTGTCAGTGATAGTTCCCACCCTCTACATAGGCAAGCACATGTCATGCACATACGCATACATCCTGGTGAGCAGGCATGTAGAGTACACGCTTTCCTCAGGAGAGAAAGTTGGAGAAACTGAAGAGTATAACACAGAATACAGTAATGGACCAACTAACAGCATTTAAGGAAATAATTGTAAGAAGGACACACTGGCAAGAATGTTTGCAGAGCGTCTCTTTTGGTTTTGGAGTAAGATGTGATGGTCCAATGTAACCACAGTAAATAATTTTTAATAAAGCCAAGCAGATGCTGGACCTGTGAGCAACAGACATAGGACTAATAGTAGCAACAACAACATCCTAGGCTTATATCACTTCACTTTATAAAATGTGTCTACATGCATTTTGCTTCATGAAGATACAGTATGGGTCTGGAGAGCTGGCTCTGTAGTTAAGAGCACTTGGGGCTCTTACAGAGGACCTGAGTCGGATCCCCAGCACCCTCATTGGTGGCTCACCACCACCCTAACTACAGCTCCAGAGAACCCGATGCCCTCTTCTAACCTCCTCAGGCCCAAGCACACTTGTGACAGACAGACATAAACAAAAATTAAAATGCTTAATCAAATTTAATTTTTACCACATTTTATTTATCAATGAATGAAAATAATTAATTTTACTTTTGAATATAATTTAGACTATTTAAACTGTTGCTTTCTACAGGGACTCATTTTTTTATTTCTTTGGCTTTTTAAGACAGGGTTCAGATAGTCCAAACTGAACTTGAATTTACTATGTAGCTAAAACTGGCCTTGAACTCCTGATCATCTTGTCCCTACTACTCCCCAATGCCAAGAATAGAGATTTGAGTCACCACACCTGGCACAAATTAACAGTATCTTTTTGCATGATGATTTTTGACTGGTAAAGTTATTTGTATTAGTCAATAGTTATTTCTAAATTTAGGAATATGCCAATAATGAAAATTTTATTCTAATTCTAACCGTATCCAGAAACTTGCTTAATTTTTCTCTGGAGACCAAAGAAATGTTGTTTAAAACATTCCATTATCTAAGTGCTGCTCCTTCTGCCAGTTGGATGTTTACTTATTCACTCTTGGTGTGTGAGTCACTGAAAATATTTTTTTAATTAATTGATTTATTCTTACGGGTCGTGTGTGTGTGTGTGTGTGTGTGTGTGTGTGTGTGTGTGTGTGGTGCCCATAGAAGCCAGAAGAGGGCATCCAATACCAAGAACTGAAGTTACAGATTGTTGTGAATCACCATCTGGGTGCAGGCAATGGGATTTGAGTCCTCTGGAAGAGCAGCCAGTGCTCTTAATCACCGAGAAACTTCTCCAGCCCCTTGGAAATATTTTAAAAACTCATTGAAGTGATGTGATGGATAAGAATTGTAGCACCATAGAATCATTCCAGTACCACTATTTGCCATGTTGCTAACTAGATGATGGAATTAAGCTTGAAAAGGTGGTCTCTGAGGTAACATCCACCTGAACATCTTCTCATTTCTGCCCCTTTTATAGAAGCCAGACAAGGAAGGCTACTTAATTCATAACCAGATCCCTTTTCTTAAGCAACATAAGAACAATTACATTCCTCCATTCAAGTCTCAAGTCACTTGGTTAGACACAGCCAAAAACAGAGTCTGGTCTTCTCCTCTGAGCCAACAAGTGCGATGGGAGCTCAGAGAAACCCGGGAGGCTTGTATCCACCCACATTCCTGAAGGATATCAAAGGAAGTGTCTCCTCTTACATAAAAGCATGAATTGCCTTTCCAGAATCCACCCCCTAATTAACAAACCAGTAAAGCAACATGTAAGAAATGAATTGACTA